GCTTTGGAGGTGAAGGGATTCAGGGTGACCTTTGAAGATGCTGTAGCAAAGGTTACTAAGCGATCTTTGGTGGTGATGAAGGGAGTCCGCAGTCATAATTTATACTATCTGAAGGGGAGCACCGAGATTGGCCAGGTTGCTTCGGCTATTTCAGAGGCGGACATAAGCAGACTTTGGCATTACAGGTTAAGACACACAGGAGAGAAGTCACTGCAGGCTTTGTGCAAGCAGGGGCTATTGAAGGGAGCCAAGAGGGGAAAGATTGAGTTCTGTGAGCACTGTGTTCTTGGCAAGAAGACGAAGGTGAAGTTCGGGATGGCCATTCATAGGACGAGAGGCATCTTGGACTACGTGCACACAGATGTTTGGGGTCCTACCAAGACGGCAACACTTGGTGGTCGATATTTGTTCGTTACATTTGTTGATGACTATTCTAGGCGTTGTTGGGTGTACACCATGAAGCATAAGAGTGAAGTCCTAGATTTGTTTATGGAGTGGAAGAAGAGATTGGAACTGCAAACTGGGAGAAAGATCAAGACGTTGCGATCCGACAACGGCGGCGAGTATACTTCAGACCCCTTTCAGCAGCTATGTCGAGACGAGGGCATAGAGAGGCACTTCACAGTTAGTCATACACTGTAGCAGAATGGGGTGGCAGAGAGATTAAATCGGTCTTTACTAGAGAAGATTCGATGTTTATTGGCGCATAGTGGTTTGGAGAAGATCTTTTGGGCTGAGGCACTTTCTTATGCGAGCCACCTCATTAATAGGCTGCCTTCATCTGCGATTGAGGGGAAGACCCCTATGAAGATGTGGTCGGGAGAGACAGCACATGACTATGACCAGCTTAAGGTATTTGGTTGCCCTGCATATTATCATGTTAGAATTGATAAGTTGGAACCTCGAGCTAGGAAGGTCATATTTGTAGGATTCAAGCGTGATGTCAAGGGATACAAGCTTTGGGATCCAATTGATAAGAAGATTGTGCTGAGTAGCGATGTCACATTCGATGAGGCTTCTATCTTGAAGCTTCCCAGCTCTCATCAGGTGGAGAGCGACCCGACAGAGGAGATTTCGCAGGTGGTGGAGATTGATGCAGCTCCACAGAGTCCAGATAGTGCAGTATCCATTAGAGTGCCGACTGAGGTGACGCCAGGCGAGCACGACGGTGATGCGGAGGATACGGGTACTCATGAGCAGGATCAGGGATCGACGGCTCAGGTTCAGGATTCTATTACGGCACGGAGACAGAGGAGAGACATACGGGTGCCAGCACGGTATGCCGACACAGTTGCATATGCACTTACGGTGGAGAGTATCAATGAGATGGTGCCTACTACATTCAGAGAGGCCGAGCAGAGTTCGGAGGTTGATTCGTGGCAGGTGGCTATGCAGGAGGAGATGAAGTCCCTTCATAAGAACGATACATGGGAGCTTGTTGAGCTTCCAAAGGGACGGAAGGCGATTGGGTGCAAGTGGGTGTACACGAAGAAGTAGGGCATTAAGGGCACTCCAGTGAGGTTCAAGGCTAGGTTGGTTGCGAAAAGCTATGCACAGGAGGAAGGTATTGATTACAATAAGGTTTTTTCTCCGGTGGTGAAGCACTCTTCGATTCAGATTCTGCTAGCTTTGGTGGCACAGTATGGATTAGAGTTAGATCAGTTGGATGTGAAGACGACATTTCTTCATGGTGATCTTGATGAAGAAATATATATGACTCAGCCATTGGGATTCCGAGCTGCAGGGAAAGATAAGTTGGTTTGCAGGCTAAAGAAATCGCTATACGGTTTGAAGCAGTCTCCTCGACAGTGGTATAGGCGATTCGATGGTTTTATGCTTGGTCATTCGTACACTCGGAGCCAGTTTGATCCTTGCATGTATTTTCATAAGTTGAGAGTAGGTGCGTACATTTATCTATTGATTTATATCGATGACATGTTGGTTTCCCCTAGTTCCAGGTCAGCTATAGATGAGTTGAAAGTTCAGCTTTCGAATGAGTTTGAGATGAAGGATTTGAGCGAGGTGAAGCGCATTTTAGGGATGGAGATCGGCAGAAACAAGAAGAAGGGCGGGATTTGTTTGACACAGGTGACTTATTTGAAGAAGGTTCTACAGCGATTCCATGTTAGCATGGATACGAAGCCAGTTGGTGTACTGTTGGGAGCCCATTTGAAGCTTTCAGCTGGCCTTTCACCGAAGTCGGTTAAAGACCATGAGTTGATGTCGAAGACTCCATATGCGAGCGCAGTTGGGAGCTTGATGTACGCGATGGTATACCATGAGTTGATGTCGAAGACTCCATATGCGAGCGCAGTTGGGAGCTTGATGTACGCGATGGTATGTATGAGGTCGGATTTGTCTCAGGCAGTGAGCATGGTGTCGAGATACATGCACGATCTAGGAGTGGGTCATTGGGATGCCGTGAGATGGATTTTGAGGTACATTCTAGGTACGCTCAATGTTGGTTTGGTTTATGAGCGGGACACTACAGGTGGGCAGCTATGCATTGGTTATATTGATTCGGATTATGCCAGGGATTTGGATAAGCGCCGGTCTACGACGAGGTATGTGTGCACTTTGACCCATGCGCCGGTGTGTTGGAGATGCACCTTACAGTCGATGGTGGCTTTGTCTATGACGGAGGCAGAGTATATGACAGTTACAGAGGCTGTGAAGGAGGCTATTTGGCTTCGAGGACTTTTAGAAGAACTTGGTATATCACAACGGTCTGTCACTATTCATTGTGATAGCATGAGTGCTATATATTTGGCGAAGAATCAGGTTTTTCATGCGAGGAAGAAGCACATTGACGTTCGTTATCACTTCGTTCGAGATGTTCTTGAAGATGGCGATGTGGAGATTGTGAAGGTCCACACGAAGGATAATCCGACGGATATGCTCACAAAGGTGGTTCCGAGCAACAAGTTTGATCATTGCAGAAACTTGTTGAATATTTGTGATTGTTCAGGCCGTTGGCGGCTATTTGGATGAACTACGGGCGGCTTGATCCCTTGGGAGAGGGGGTACGTAGGCAACCATGGTGGTGCAGTCGTATTTGGAGAGACGACACATTGATGCTCTTGGTTTGGTGTCGTTTTGGCAAAATTCGCCGAGGTGGAGAATTGTGGAGAAATCAAAAAAACCAGTTTTTCTGGCATAAGTCGACTCATGCACAAGGCTAAGTCGACTTGTCAGTGTGCACAAGTCGACTTACGATCTGCACTGGAGTTATGTTTTTTCGCTCTGCCAAGTCGACTTATCAGGCCTGATAAGTCGACTTATCAGGCCTGATAAGTCGACTTATGAAGTGGTCACCAGTTGCTGTTTTTCTCTCTGCCAAGTCGACTTGTGGTGACTGTTAAGTCGACTTACGACGGGTATTTTGCATAATCAAGTTTCCTGTTTGCAGTCTGATTGGGTTTTTGTTTTGATATAAATAGGGAAATGATTTGTTAGGGTTTTTTATCAGAGATTGAGGAATCTTTTGAGCATTGTGAGAGGGAGATATTGTGAGCAAGGTGAGATCTTTGGTTGAGGGTTAGTTTGAGAGTTTTGTAATCCTTTGTACTCTCCTTGAATTAGTGAAATCTCCCCATCCTCTCCCCGTGGACGTAGGCAAGTTGCCGAACCACGTATATCTTTGTGTTTGGTTTGATTTGTCGTAATTGGCTTGGTTTGTGCAAGAGTGTGGCTTTCTCCTTCCGTGATCTCAAGTTCGTTGTGTGTGCGTGCAACGCTTCCGCATAGGCGCGCAACAATTTGTTATTATTTATTTCTTCACGACACAAACTTAAACATATTTTTAGTCTCATCTTACCAACTATTCTTTGTTACAAGTGATCATCTTTTTAAACTCAGCGATGATTGTCGCCGCCAGTAGCTGAGAAAAAATAACAAATAAAAGTTAGCCTATATATTGTTAATAATAATAATAATTTCAAAAGGAAAATCTGAAGTTTAAGATACACCTTCTTATTGTACCTCTTAATAGCTGAAATGATCCGACCATCATCGACTGTTAGCATCCTCACAAGATCTACCATCTGATGACGAGTACATGTTTTCTCCTGCATCAGTGCATTCGAACCCATCATACAAAATAAATTAATTATATATTCAAAATGTTAAAATGTGTTCCCAAAAAATTTCCTCACCTTAAATTCTTTATAGATCTTCTTCAGTTCAGATGGCTTGTCAGGGGATAGAGATTTTGACAGCATTGTAATGAGTTTCGAAATTGGAATGTAAGGTGAAGATGGCTTCTCAATAGCATTGCTCACAAGTTCACCATCAGAAGTGCTAATTTTCTCCATCTGCTTGCTAGTTTGCTATTAGCTTTTGTTGAAAGGAAAAAAAAAATTGTAAATTTTAATTTGAACTTCTGTACTCTGAAGAACTTATGGGGTCTACACATGCAAAAGTTGCAATTACTACATACTTTCATGGGTCTAAAGTAACCAAGCCAGCAAAGGTAGAAAACGACTAACATAAAGGGGGAGTAAACTGCTGATTTACAATTACGTTCAACAAAATTGAGCTCAAAACCCAATAAATTTTTCTATTTAAATTTTGTTGTAAGTTGGTAAAACGGAATGTATATAAATAGAAATTGTATGCCGGGCATAAAAATCATAACAACATAAAAATCATAAAGGAACGGTTACATCAAGAGAACCGTAATATTCAATACTTACCTCTTATCTTCCTCTTCCTCTAGTGTCTCTGATGGAATGAGAAGAGCAGGTATATTAATATATAACACAAACATGAAGTAGAACAGTTTAAATTACAGGATATTATCCCCCAAGTTTCCAGGTCCAGAGATTGCAGATGTGATACAAGGATCACAGATAACATTCATGTACCACAAAACTTGTACATCAAACAACTCCATGTGGAAAGAATTCGGACATATCGCTCGATAGATGCATTAATTCTATCTAGACAATGTATATTAGAAATCACAAATAACATCTTTTTGGGGAGGGAAAAGTGCCACATGCAGCTTGAATTTGATTTCATTGATAGAATGCACAATACAAGAAACTACGAAAATTGATACGCTTAAGCGACGTAGTACATAGGGTTGGGGATCTTGAAAGTTCTTCTGGCATGGGGGTGGCCTCCAAGGCTGCTCCATTGATCTCCAACGACCCCCCATAGCCGATACCCTTTGCTGACCAATCTCTTCCTTTGTTCTGCCTTGAACTTTTTCACCCCATCGTACCCATCTTTGTCACACCTGAGTTGTAACAAGTACACGTTAGCGTTCTTGAAGACATAATGAGGATTTAATTTAAAAATAAAGATATAGTGAGAATAATTGACCGGATTGTTTGAATATTTAACTTGATGGCTTACAGTAGAACTGAATGGAAGAACAAGATTCGGTAAATTTCGGAAGACCTCCCTCAAGTTTAGCCCATTTTCAGAGAACCCCATAAACTTTATAAATGTCGCTTAACCCCCCTAGAATTTTTGTCAATAACCCGGCAAAGTAACTCCGTTGGGTCTGTTGTTGCATGTGAAAATCAAGTGTATTCAAATAACCCTTCAATGAAAATTTGTGGCTCCTGATATTTGGAGGGTTTTCTCACAAGAATCAAAGGCCGAGAAATTACGTGACATTTATAAAGTTTAAGGGTTTATCTGAAGGCGGACAAATTGAGTTGGTTTTATAAAATTTATGCAACAAGATTCGTGGAGTCGGCCTAAAAAATTGGGACAAATTAATATAGTTTTGCTTCTGTTGTGGTTGTCGGATACAGGCATGTGTACACAGAGAGAACGTACACACCTTAGGATGAGCTCAGTCCAACCTCGGTACCCAGCCTTAACAAGGTTATTGACCGTGGCATCTCGAAGGTGCTCCTTCCTCGAGGAGATGATGAAGATCTTCAGCCCTCGGCCCCTGATCTCATGATAGAGATCACGCATATGCTCAACAGCGGGGGCTTTGCGTTCATCCATCCATTTCTCCAACGAAGTTCTATTCGCCTCCAACGAACTGCACGGGTCGAATCTATTGTGAAGTTAATCCCCTCTATCCTACGAAGGAATTAATTAGAAAGATAAATTACTTAAGCAGGCTGGAATTGTACCCAAAGTTGATCTTCTTGTAATAAGGCACATTGGAGAGAAGCGTGTCGTCGACATCAAATATCCAGGCGTCCTTGCCATCACCTCCCAGGGCGAACGCCTCCGTCAGGAACAATGTAGACTCGTCGGCGACTCTCTGCACATCAGCCTTGAACTGAGAGGAGCTCAAGTACTTGCTTATGATATCTACACATTCTGCGGGGACCTCGTCGAAGTCTCTGACGTTGTGGAGCTCCACATTGAGCTTCCAGCTCTCACAGTAGTTCTTCAGGCTCATGCCCAGGCCATCTCTTCTGCGGCCGAAGTAGTCCAATATGTTCCATGTGTAGCCTTCGCCTAGTGCGGTACCAAGCCAAAGGCTTGATTGAAGGCACAACAACAATACTAACAAGGTTCGATCTCTTTTAACTCCCATTTCCTTTTTTTCTCCCTCTGTTATCTTCTCTCGATCTGCAGGGTTATGAGGGAAAAGTGTGATCATTATATGGGATTTGAATATGGTGAGGGTCGCATGAGTTGTTTGTTGAGAACATGTCGCTCAACTTTGTTAGAGCTGGCAGTATTGGACCACTATCAATATAATATAAATGTTTCGGGGCTGAATTTGGACGTTCAGGGTTTGCATTCACATGATCAATAAACTTCAAATAAATAATAATCTACCTGTCTTAAATCTTTTTTTTTTAACTATAATGACAATTATGGATAAATATCATTCACCGGATTATAAATAGAAAATTTTAGAACATTCTGGAGCTATTGACGTTATAAAAAAAGGTACTTGTCACTAGGGGTGGAAATGAACCAGATAATTAACCAATAGTTCGTTCATTATTTGTCTAAATTATTTTTGTTAAATTCGATTCCATAGTTCATTAATAATAAACGAATAGTTTTTATTATTCGGTTCATAAAAATTTAACCAATTGTATATCTGATTCATTTGATTATTAAATATTCATTTATTATTTTACTTTAATATTTATATTTGTTGATGGTCTAGTGATCACACGTACGGTCAATATGTATCCGTGTTTGGATGAGTTTGTTGATGATTGATGAGAGGACCACTTTCTTCCATGACTTTATATCTGGTTCTTGAGTAGGACATCTGAAAAATCTGCATGTGTAGGAACTGGTGAGAGGACGGGGCTTGGTTCCCCCGTTATACCTCCGACGAGCAAGTTAGCTGATGAACTTGAGTGGGGTAATTAAGAACAGTGGTAGTTCTTGTACATGTGCAGTATGATTTGTTTATTTTTAGAATTTTGATCAAGATCCAGAAAAAAAAGTTCAAAAAAAAATCCCTCTTCTAAGTTGAAATAGTACATCTATTTATACCAAAGTTGTAAGGGTAAATTGGTCACTTCGGCCGAGCACTGACATACGGTGGAGAAGTATAGGCTGGCAGATGCATCAGCATCTGCTTTACAGGTGTCGAGCTGAAGGAAGTAAGGTTCGAGAGAAAACCCTAGTTGAGTTTACACAAACTCCAACCAGCCTCGATATTTCTGTTTCGTTTTGGAAACAAGAATAGAAGTGAATATCTCAGCGAGGTGAGCTATACACTCTTCCCAATATCAAATCTAGATCTAAATATCGAGGGAACGACAAGCAATGGCAAATACACAAAAAACAATACCCAAAGTAAATGAGGCGAGAGATATATGTGGTTCAGCAAACTTGCCTACGTCCACGGGAGGGGTGAAGGGAGATTCCCATATGATGGAGAACACCGACGACTTGCACAACCCACAAGCTTGTCCCAAAGAGATGAAGGTTAGATTTTACCCAAGGGAAGACAACATCTTCCTTGTACAATCTCCCCAGGGCTGTCCAAAAAGCCCTCGGCCCGGGCCCGGCCCGGATTTGGCCTGGAGACCCGGGCCAGATCCGGGCCCGGGCCCGGCCCGCTTCATCCGCGCCCTGCTCCGGACTCGGGCCGACCCAGAACAGTATCGACCGGGCCACAAAAAATCAGGCCGGGGCGGCTCGTGTCATGCCGCAACGGTCACCAGGGGTGACGTTACGGGCAAATACCAAACCGGGTCGGCCCGGCACTAACGGTCACATTGCGGCAAAAATAATCTGCGGGGCTGCGGCAGTCCAGCCCTGCCCGGCCAAAACGGGTCAAAAAATATGACCGTTTTGGCCGGCCCGGCCGACCACAAAGGCCAAAACAGCCGTTTTGACCATTTTGCCCCTAAAATGGTCAAAAACAACTATTTTATGAGGGTTTTTTGGTCATTTGCCTAGGAGGCTACCTCTATAAATAGAGGGAGGTTTTTACTTCTTCTCCTCACACCAAAACTCATCTACTTCTCTCTAATACTCTCTTATATAATCTTACCATCTCTTATAATCTCTTATACTTTCTAATTCTTCCATCAAATAGCTTATGGATCTGATTATGAAGAGCAAAACCTATCTCGTACCGATCTTAAAATGAGTCCTAAGACAACTACTCCTCCTACCGGTGTTAATCCCAAATCTCGTGATGACAAATCTGCACCAAGAGCTCCTAAAAGGCCGAGATCCGATGTGTGGAATTTTTTTGAGAAGATAGATGTCACCGAGGATGAACACGGTAGGATCATCACCCAGAAGACTAAATGTGCGTTGTGCAGCCAGACTTTCCAAGATCATCATAAGAGCGGCACCAACCACCTCAAACGCCATATAGAAAAATACAACAAATACCAGAATCCTCAATGTGATATCTGACAATCTATGATTTCCTAATCCTCCTCTTCTGGTAGTCTCGGTAGTTGGAATTATGATGCTATCTGAGCCAGGAAATGCATAATCAGATTTATCGTTCTTAAAAACCTTTCTTTTAAATTAGTAGAAGATGATGAATTTAAAGATATGTTTAAAGATGGTTTTTATCCCGTATTTACAAAATTTTCTCATCAAACCTGTCAACATGATATTTTAAAATATTATTAGGAGGAACAATGAAAAATAATTTCTTATTTTAAAAATTTAAATTGTAAATTTTTTTTAACTTCTGATATTTGGACATCTAGAACACAAACTGGTTATTTATGTATCACAGCACACTGGATTGATGGTAAATGTTTAAAAGAGTTATTTCTTTTATTGCAATTGAAGAGTCACATACTGGTATTAATATTACAAATTTAATAATTGAAGAACTTAAATTGAAGAGTCACATACTGGTATTAATATTACAAATTTAATAATTGAAGAACTTATGAAACTAGAAATTGATCAAAGAATAATTAATATTACAAATTTAATAATTGAAGAACTTATGAAACTAGAAATTGATCAAAGAATATTTTTTTTTACTAGATAATGCAAGTAATAACAATGTAGTTGTTGATTTTATCAAAACAACTCTGTCATTATCATATCATGATGATATTTTTTATATTAGATGTATATGTCATATTTTAAATTTAATTTTTCAAAGTGTATTTTCTGAAATTAAACTCATGATAAAAAAGGTTAGAACAGTTGCTAATATGCATAATGCTTCTGAAATAAGAATTAAAAGATATAAACAATGTTGTAAAAGAAAAAATTATAAGCCCAGACTAATTCCAAAAGATGTTGACCATAGGTGGAATTCCACCTATGCAATGTTAAGTGTAGCAATAGAATATAAATAAATTATAAATGATTTTATAAATTTCTATGCTTCTAGTTCTAGATCTGATAGTACTTATGGAATAACTGAAGATGAATGAACAATTATATGTAATTTAAATAAGATGTTACAAGTCTTTTATGATGCTACAATGTTATTATCTGGCTGTTATTATCCAATAATTACTTTAGCTGCTTTACCAATTTTAAATATTCAAAAAAATTTACTAAATATCATATGAATGATACTTTTGGAGCTATAATTTTTCAAATAGAGAGCAAATTTAATAAGTATTTTAGGCATATTCCTCATATTTATGGTTTAGGGGTTCTTATTGATCCATGTTTGAAGGCTATTAGCCTTCGAAGTTTGTTACAATTATTGTATGGTGGACAGATTATAGACTTAAATGATGGATCCACCCTTACTTCTACTTCTCATCATTTAGCTATTAAAAATTATTTTCAAACATTATATGATGAGTATGCAGCTAGACATGGTGTAGCTGCACAATAGTCTACAGCTTCGACGCCTTCGAGCACATGCCGAGGTAAAAGTGTAAGTTTTGATAGGTATGCAATGGTAGCTGAACTAACTAGTGGATCTGGACTTGGATCAGCATTGGAGGTTTCTGAAATAGATGAATATTTATCTGCTTCTTTAGTTAAATTTTAAGGAAATGCTTTAGATATTTTGCAATGGTGGAGAGTATATGGATCAGTTTCATATCCTATACTTTCCACCATGGTTCGTGACTTACTAACAGTGCAGGTTTCAGCAGTAGCTTCGGAATCCGCCTTCAGCACAACAGGACGTTTGATCGACGACCACATGACATGCTTAGATCCATATTGTACAAGCGGTGATGTGCTTACAAGATTGGTGGAGATACGAGAAGCGAACGTAAAGCATCGATCGAATGGCTATAGTTAAAGATAAATTTGAAGAGTTGGGACTAGCAGATAGGTATAAAGATTAAACAATAATCATCAAATTATAATTTTTATTTCTTAGCTTTAAATTTGTAATGAATTATTTCGGAAACAGTTGCAAATGATAGTGATATAGATGAGTATGTGCCAACCTAGTTGGGATGTACTCATCTATTGTGATGCGACGAATATCAAAATAAATCTATACTTGTAAAGGATTTACTGATTATTAATAAAGAAGTTATTTTTATCATCTTTTATTTTTATAATTTTTTGTATTTGTAATTTATGTCATTTCAAGTTATTAATAATATGATTGTTTTTATTAGCATTTTTTGTAATTTTTATGTATATTTTATGACTTATGGGGATTTTTTTAAATAAAAAAAAACCTGGGCCAGCCCGGAGCCCGGCCCACTCAGGCCCGGGCCCGAACCCGGCTCGGGCCAACCAGGTTCGGGCTTCGGTTTTGCCCGGCCCGAGCCTGGTTTTTCAGGCCGGCTAGGCACGGGTTGGCTCGGATGGACAGGCCTAAATCTCCCCAAGCACTCACTCTTTTCTCTCCTTAAGATCTCACCTTTTTTAGATCTGAAAAACTCTCCTTTTTCTTTGATGACAACCCCTCTTCTCTCCAAAAAAACCTAGGAACGAAGTTCCTATTTATATCAAGGAAACATGGTCCAAAACGAAAACAACCCGCTCGCTTCGGTTGCGCTCGAGACACCCTGAGGTGTCTCTCGGGGTGGCTCACGCGCCGAGACACCCTGAGGTGTCTCGCGCTCACATGTCATGTGTATAAAATAGTAAATTAACAAATTGAATTTGGACACTCTTTTCTTATTCGACTAGAATTCGGATTCGAATTCATCAAAATTAACCCAATCCAAATACTATGGTATTCGATTCGAATTCGGTTCATTTCCACTTGGTCACATGTAGATAAAATTTAACTGAGAAGGAATGAGGATACCTAAAAGTGAAATAGTTCCTTAAGTAAAAGGTTACCAAATTGATTTCTCGGTTGAATTTCTTTCCAC